GCTCTCTCTCTGCCTGCTTCTCTGCCTACTTGTGATCTCTGTCTGTCAAATAAATAAATAAAATCTTAAAAATGGATAAGGAAGATGTGGTCCATATACACTATGGAGTATGATGCCTCCATCAGAAAGGATGAATACCCAACTTTTGTAGCAACACGGACGGGACTGGAAGAGATTATGCTGAGTGAAATAAGTCAAGCAGAGAGAGTCAATTATCATATAGTGTCACTTATTTGTGGAGCATAAGAAATAACATGGAGGACATGGGGAGTTAGGAGAAGGCAGTTGGGGGAAATTGGGAGGGGAGGTGAACCATGAGAGACTATGGACTCTGAAAACAACCTGAGGGTTTTGAAGGGGCAGGGGGTGGGAGGTTGGGGGAGCCTATTGGTGGGTATTGGAGAGGGCACGGATTGCATGGAGCACTGGGTGTGGTGCAAAAACAATGAATACTGTTACGTTGAAAAGAAATAAAATATTAAAAAAAAATAAAGAGAATCATTACCAAAAGGTCAAAAAAAAAAAAAAAAAGAAACATCTAAGATGATACAGGTGGCCACCTTATGTTTGAAAATATAGATCTAGATCCTACTATTTAAAGTATTTCCTTTCTTTTTTTCTTTTTTGAAGATTTATTTATTTATTTCAGAGAGAGAGAGCAAGCACGAGCAGGAAGGGAAGAGGGAGGAGGTAGAGGGAGAGAGAATCCCAAGCAGACTCCCCACAGAGCTCAGAGCCCATGTGGCCCTTAAGTATTTTCATAATATTCTTACATTGTAGTTTTCTGGAATATTCTGCAGAATGGAGATGAATGGGAGATACTATTAAAGGTGGCTTTTTTTTTTTTTTAAGATTTTACTTATTTATTCGACAGAGAGAGAGGGAACACAAGCAGGGAGAGTGAGAGAGGGAGAAGCAGGCTCCCTGCTGAGAAAAGAGCCCATTGTGGGGCTTGATCCTAGGACCCTGGGATCATGACCTGAGCCGAAGGCAGGCTTAGCAACTGAGCCACCCATGTGCCCCAGAGGTGAGGGTTTTTAACTTTACTAAGGACAAAGCTCTGGAGCACAGGATGCAGGCGATAGCGTGCCCTGATAACACGTGACCTGCGCAGTCTCCACCTGCTGCACGCCCCCCTGCACACTTCAGCCCATGCTGGAACCTGTTCAATCCCCAGTTCAGTTCTTCAGGCAGAAACAAATGACAAGAGTTAGAAGAGCCTCGAAATGTCATATAATCCATGTTACTGTTATTCAACATATCGAAAAGTATTTAAGACATTGGTACCCTACACATAAAACTGACATTTCATAAAAATGTGACACTCTACTCCAGAAAACAAATAGAAAATCCAGTTCCTCAAAAAATCAGATAATAAAATGACCATGAAATGACCAAACAACCAAAATCCAGTTTTACCCTCTCTTACCATACTTCGACTCACCTGCTAACTTCTAGACAATAACGTGCAATGATTGTATTAAATTAAACATTATTGTTGTATGTCATTACATTCTTAATTAAATTTCAGGGTCCTCTTGGAACAAAGACCCTATTAAATCATACGTCTAGGGCCAAGGAGCTGGAATGTAAGACATGCTGGGTGTGGGGGGAGCTCCCAATTTCACAACAGTGCCCAGGACACTAAGGTGATCAAATTTCAAAGTAATTCTAGCAGCCTGCATTACTGACTGTGGGGTCAGACCGCCAAGCGCAGATGATGCTGGCACTAGACGAAGACAGTGTTTGTCATAACCAATACTTGGGGAGAGACACGCTGCAGTCCACGCGGACGGCCCATGCTTGCTTTCATCCTCGCAGTGACGGAATCCGATCCTTAACAGAGGCGTTCGCCTTAGGGCCTGTCCTGTAATTTAAGGGCTGTGCCACGAAGACGATTTCAGGCATAGTGACTTGGTTGAGTTAGGTGTCACCACCGAACACCCCAAATAAAACCAACATTTCCCAATGATTCCGTTGGAAATTTATTGGGAGATTTCCCAACAGTGAGTGCACTAACCCCAGATCCATATTCTCAATCTGTCACTACGAGACTCTCCAAAGTACCAACTGAAAATGCCATCAGAATTGATGTTATAATGGGATCTATAATTTATCACAAGTATTTGTTTTTCAAGAAGTGGGGTGCTTTATCACGAGTTCCAATGATCACTCCAAAGGCATCAGCGGACAGAGAAAGCCGTGGCCATATGGGTGTGTGAATTTACACACGAGTATGCAAACACACATACACCAAACCCACACCTGTCTGTGCAAGAGACAGATGCACATGAATTTGCATTATCTATGAACTTTTCCAACTAAACAGCACATGGACTTGAAAGAGTCCCACATACCTATCACCTGCTCAGCAAATGTTCACTGAGGAGCCCTTAGGTTTAGTCATCAGGTAATTTCCTGTTATTTATTTATTTATTTTTCAAAGATCTTTATTTATTTATTTGAGAGATAGATAGAGAGAGAGAGAGAGAGAGAGCATGAGCTTGGGGGAGCGACAGAGGGAGAAGCGGACTTACCACTGAGCAGGGAGCCAGATGTGGGATTCAATCCCAAGACCCTGAGATCATGACCTGAGTTGAAGGCAGACACTTAACTGACTGAGCCACCCAGGCTTGTTATTTATTAATTTAACTTCTCCCGTCAGTAAGTTTCTGGATTTTTATACTTCAACCAGCAAAACAGACCCATTTTCATAAAACTTCAGAAGGAGTTCATTGAAAAAAATTCAATGTTATAACTGAAAATGTTCTAAGATGCTTAATTCTCAAGGAAAATAATCTAAGTGCCCCAAATTTGAGATTCAGGGCCCTAGAGATTCTGGCCACATAAGTCATATTTAACTTAGAAAATCCATCAAGTTTATTCAAGTTGAAGAACGATTTTATATCATAGGGAATGAGCTGACACAACTGATTTTAAAGGATGCAATTTTTTTTTAACTGAAAAGATATTTCCTCTCCTGTCCATGATGAAGTAACTGGTACCAGGCTTACTTTTCTGCACACAAAAACTGTATGAAACTTGACAAAATATATGGGCCAGTTCTTATAGGCTTTGGACCAGGCAACACAGTCCTTGTCCCTGGAGACAGGGAAGTTTGCCAAGTGAGCGCCAACTTCGCTCCAACCATCTGGTTGGGAAGAATTTCCTGACGTGGTGCAGTGAGGTGGACCCCAGCACACACCGACAGTCTCCCTGTGTGGAGGACACCGAGAACAGAGTTGGAGCCTGCAGAAGGAGCTAGAACTTGCGGGACTCTGTGGGACCGGAGAGGAAAAAGCCACGTTAAGTAGGAAGCCCCAGATGCCTATCTAAGGATTTCCCGTAGGTCCTTCCTCATCTGTGGGGTGAACGGGTGATACACTGACACGTCAGTAGCCTAGCGCAGGGCAGCAGCTCTGGGCTGAGCGCTGACCGGCTGGACGACAGAGGCCATGCCTTGTTGGGAGACAGTGGAGTTCTGGGGGCATGTGACAGAGAAACCTCAGTGGAGAGCCCGAAGTCCACGCCCCCAGCCCAGAGCACAGGCTTTGCCCTCCAGCTAAGGAAAAGTTGAATGAGAAGAGCCCTAAGGAAGAGCCAAACCAAGCCTCAAAGGATGAAGGGATCACTTGTTATAATAATACTATACAAAATTTATATAACATGAAGTGATACTGCATTACAATACATTACAAATAGACTCAAGGCTATGAAGGAAAAAGCGGACAGAATTAGTGGCAAAGAATGGGAAATTTCAGTGGAGAATAGAGAATAGGACAAATCAGATCGTGTTTTTGGAACCAAACCTTAAAATAACCTAAATGTGGAGTTTGCTGAATTGTCTGAACAAATGGTAAGGAACGCCAGCAGACACAGATGATGATCGGCTTTTTAATCAGAAACTACTGAGACCAGGTGAACATGGAAATGTAGCCTGAGAATGTGTATAGGAAAACAAACAAAAAGAACTGTTTAGAATTCTAGAATCAGAAAAAATGATGCTTCAAAATGGAGGGTGAATTTACTGATATTTTCAGATAAAAGAAAATCTGACCTACTCTGTGCCTGGTGGATACAGGTCACAGGGAGCACAAGGAAAGATCTTCAGGCCAAAGCAAATGAAGGAAGTGGAGTTGATCCATGAGAAAACAGAAGTTCTACATGGTACCTCAGTGAGTGAATATAAAAGGTGACACTATTTTATTTAAAAGCAACTCCCTCTGTTAAAACAAAAATTTTAACATTGTGTCTTGTAGCTTGTAATGGGCACAGAGGTAACATTCACGATGAGGACAGTACAGTGTGGGGTCACGTGGGCTTATTTGTTGTGAGGACCTTGCATTTTACATAGAGCAGCACAATGTTAATTCTACATCGGCTGTAGGTGAAAGAGGCACCTGCATTCTCTGGAGCAACCACTAGAAATCAAGAGGAGGAAGTATAGCTAAGATGCAAATTGAGGCAAAAAACAGAATTGTTAGAAGTTTAATGCAAAAGGAAATAGAGGAATAAAAAGAAGTGTGACCAATGGGAGACTAAAGATAAAACCTAATGACACAATTCCCCACGTTAATACATAAAAAAATAAATAACTACATCCCTAGAAGCAGAAAATGCATTTCACAAAAGTCAACCCACTTTTGTGATAAAATCGCTCAATGATCTAGGACCAGAAAGGAACTTTCTCATTTTGATAAAGGGTGACTGTAAAAACCAACAGCTAACATCATATTTTTGTTTGTTTGTTTGTTTTTAAAGATTTTATTTACCTATTTGACAGACAGAGATCACACGTAGGCAGAGAGGAAGGCAGGGAGAGAGGAGGAAGCAGGCTTCTCACTGAGCAGAAAGCCCGATGCGGGGCTCGACCCCAGGACCCTGGGATCATGACCCGAGCCGAAGGCAGAGGCTTAACCCACTGAGGCACCCAGGAGCCCCCATATTTGTTTTTTTAAGTTAAGTTTTAATTAACTTAACATACAGTGTTCTATTAGTTTCAGATGTATAATATAGTGCTCAGCAAGTCTCCACGTGACTCTGTGTTCGTCACGGTAAGTGCGCCCTTAATCGCCATCCTGTCCCGCAATTCCCCCACCCTCGTCCCCTCCAGTAACCCTGGTTGTTCTCTATAGTTAAAAATCTGTTTCTTGCTTTGTTTCTTTTTCCTTTATTTGTTTTTTTTCCTTAAATTTCACATATGAATGAAATTATATGGTATTTGTACTTCTCTGACTTACTTCACTTAGCATTGTCCCTTCTAGCTCCATCCCTGTCATTACAAATATTTTACTTGGCATTTATGAAGTTCCAGAATAAGCAAACTGTATCAATAGTGATAGAAATCAGAACAATGGTCCCTTACCGGGGTGGGGAAGGGACTGAATGGAAGAGGGCATAAGGGAACTTTTTGGCTTTATGGAAGTAAGGAATGTCTTGGTCAGCATACTGGTTACATAGGTAAACACAGTTGTTAAAGTTCCAGTTGTACAACTAAAATGAATCCATTTCACTGCATGCAAATATTTCTTCAGTTACAAAAGAGGTACTTCGTTTAGCTTCTTACTTCCTATTTTTTCCCAATGGCGCCAGGGTACCATGGGTGATATGGTCCACAGTCACAGAGCAAAATAACGTGAAACCAGAGGTATGCTGTAGGAAATCCCATCTTTGAAAAAAAAAATTAGTCCTATGTTCCCTGTCCTTAACAGACAGAAGAGTAACATTCAAGAACTACCTCGGGGTCTCCCATGGAAAAGGAAACATTAGGAATATGCGCTGATGCTAACTGATTTATTGCTCCTGCTCCAAGCTGACATTACCCAGCTCAAAGATAAGGATCCTGTCCTGGAACACGGTTGTGATTGGCCTTAGGGGGAAATCTTGAGTTTAGAAGAAAATAGATTATGCCATCAGATTTAAATTGGGAATATTCCTTGTACATTATGAAATGTTGGAGGTTTCCCGAGGATCATATTTTTGTCTACTTTCCTCTTGATTTCATTACAAACTAGAATAAAAGAAATCTCAGAAGTAGTTACTTTCATTTACTTTATGGCTAGCTTTCTTCGGGGTTCAGTCCGGCAAGCTCCCAGATCCCAACCAGCCCTTCTGGCATGGGTGCGTGTCTCTGTGTCACACACAGAATTTGCATCAGTCATGTCCCTGGGCTCAGCGGCATAGATGACAACTTCTACGAGAAACTTCTCTAGAAATCCTGTTTTTGGGAAATTTAACAACCACGATTCTCTAGACAGACTGCTGCTCCACAGTAAATTCTGCCTCTATCTGAGGTAGGTAAAGCAGGGCGGTGCTGTTTTCTTAACGGCATTTGAAAAAAATGCAGAGCATTAATTTGCCAACTTACACCAAGAGGTTATTGCTGAGGTCCCACATGATAAATCAGAAGGCAAGAGCGACCTCACAGGCCAAGTCAGTTCTCCAACGAAAACCGATACCCGCACCAGTATCCACCAGCATCCTCTTTGCCAGGAGAACATGTGTTTCCTGTTATCTAAGACCAGCCCTAGCTCACAGGATTTGACATTTGGTAGGTACCCAATAAACGCAGAATACATCAATGTCCGTCACGCTGCATAAAACGGTTTTGTGAATCGTATTGCACTGAGCACTTGCCAATAATCACTTGCCTTTTTAAAATCCAGCATGCAGAGCTTGGCTTTCTCTCCAAACTGCCACTTGCACTGAGTGTTGGCGTCGTATAACTCTCCCGGCAACTTCTCAGGGTACTTGTACTCCTTCACCGGCTTCGGCTGATCAGCGAGGCACAGCGCTTGGGCAGTGCTGAAACGCACAGGACGCAGGGCGGCTGGTGACTCTGCAAGACTTACCGGAGAGGCACCTTCCGCAAGGCCAGGCTGTTCTGCAATGTGACAACACTCCCCGCACAGAGAGGAGGGCCTTCTTCCCCCAGGGTCCCACAGGACATTTACCCCCACTCTACTTAAATACAGGGGCCACATTTCCCGCGACTGCTCAGAATGCATTTCACCTCTTCCAGGAAGGTGATTTGCTCTTCACGAGATTCCTCAAGCTTATCATGGGGAAAAGTGAGACGGACTAGCTCAGCAGACGTTCAGTGTGAGAAGCACCAGCCGCCAACGTTGGGTCCATTCCTTGCCACGGACAATCAAAGGTTGGAAGTGGGAACTGTGAGACTAGCCCAACCCACCTATCTCAAAGACAAAGGTTTTCTTTCTTTCTTTTCCTCCTCTGTCCTTCTTCTCTCCTCTTCCCAGCCCCACTTTCCTTCCCTGGGCCAGGGGCCACCTGCACATCAGCTCACAGCCTCCAGAGGTTCCCCCTGGAACACAGCAACAGTTCCCACCAGCAATACTCCACAGTGAGGCTAATTTCTGACGAGGTTCCCAAGTCAAGAAGGAAATTAACTCTGCTTAAGTTCACTCGATGATGACTAAAGACCAAATAATGATGCCTTCCTTCCACAAATAAGTCATTCCCTTCCCCAGCAGAGACAGGCATAGTTATAATTTTTGCATTCACAGGGAGGGCAAAGAGTGTTTGCACATAGCAACTAAATCTTGCTTGCAAATTTCAATAAGCCAGAAAAATCCCCTTTACGTTTGCAAAAGAGTGAATGACAGCAGACCTGCCATGGACCCCTGCACTTTTCTCTGTGTGGCTGCCCGCCTTGACTGGCAACACTCTGGCCTCAGTCTGCACAGTCCAGTCTCAGACTCCACTGCCTTTGGGTTCGCTCAGGCGTGACTTCAATTCACAGTCACCCACAAACACAAGAGTGGCCCCGGCTACAGTAGATGGGACATCAGTTCTATGTAAAAGGAGGTCAGAAGCTTTTCAGAGCACACTGGGAAGTAGAGATTAAATCAACTGATGGGAAAGTATGAAGAGCAGGGACCGGGCCACTGTGGACGTCCAACAGATGACCTGTCTGTCACGGCCGCTGTGATCATACCGCAAAGGGATATTTTTAAGTAAAGAAAAAAATGACGAAAAGCATAATTAGCATGTCAAGACACGATCTGGCAATTTTGGAATTCCATAGGACCGTTCTCTGATGGATCGCAAATGATGTCTTCATAGCGTTTGGTGTTCCCCATTGTGTCCCCAAGGCTACGTCAGGACGGCAATGACCCCCACCCTCTGGACAGGAAGCCAGGAAAAGTCGGCCAAACTGAGTGGCCCAGCAGGAGACTGAAAACTAAAACAGGCTCACGGGTTCAGGAATTTTTATAGTTTGTGTAAATGTAGAAGCACAGGGCTTGAGGACAAGGTTCCCATCCAGCCAAGAAAAACGCCCTGCATTGATTGGGAACCTGGAAAAAGCTGGGAGCCCACCAGGAGATGCAGGAGCACACATCGCTGCTGGGACAAGCGGGTCATCCCCATCGGGCTTCACCTTTGAAGGGCAGCAACTCCCCATGTGGGTCTTAGCCTGGTGCTCCAGGTTAGGTTCCTGCTTGAGCCTGTCTGCTCCTTCCCCCTCTGCCCCAGCAGGCTCACGGCCAAGCGTAGCACCAATGGGGCAGGTGTGAGAAAACCCCATGGTGTGGATAGAGAAAGGAAAAGCCACTGGACAAAGAATCCACTAGCATCCACATGGGCAAAGCATGTTTGGATTGTGTGGCGTGCCCCAGACGAAAGCCAGGTGGCCTGCATGCGGGAAGCCAAGTGATAACGCTCGTAGGAGATCACGTGGAAGAATGTATTTGTGACTCTGGGGTAAGCGGAGATTTTTTTTTTTTTTAATCAACAGCCCACAAAAAGTACTAACCCTAAAGCCAAAAATATGGATTAATTTGGACTCCATTACAAAAAGGGGAAGTTCTCTTAACCAAAGACACCATTAGAAGTGGAGACACCAAGTCATAGAGTGACAGAAGATACTTGCATACTATGTATTTTCCATATGGGACAAAGTATTCAGAATACATATGTCCATCAAGAGACAAGAAAAAAAAATAAAAAGCCTGATTCTTAAAAATTCACAGGAGATTCAAAAAATAACTTCACTCAAGATTATTTCAGTGACCATTAACATGTAAAAGGACATTCGTTCTCTTTAATGGCCACCTTGGTATGCTACTACACACCAGTGAAATGGCTAAAATGGAAAAGACCGACAAGACCCAAGTGTTGGCGAGGGTTCAGAGCAGTGGAAGCACTCGTAACTGTGGGCATGTGACTTTGCACTCAGGGAAGCTGTCTGGGGTGTCTCCTGACACTGCAGACTCCGTAACCACGACCCTAGAGTTCCAGTCCTACAGATAATCAGAGACCAAAAGAATATGCAGACATTTCTTAAATAGCCCCAAGTTGGAATCTCAAATGCCTATCACCAACAGAATGGATTCATGAGCTGTAGCATATTCATGCAATTAAAAATAAGTAAATGATGTTATATTTGTATGCGGCAATAAGGCTGAATCTCATAATCATGATACTTAGCCAAAGACCACAGACACAGAGTAGTATGTAACTCATGATTCTGTTCATAGGAAGTTCAGAAACAGGCAAAACTAGCCTATGGTGCCCTGTGTCAAGAGCAAGGTCATCTCTGGGGAGGAGGGAGATGCTGATGAGTGGGAGCATGGATTCTGGGCTGTTCACTGCTCTGTAGCTCTTTATAAATGTAGTTATCCTATCCATCACCCCAGATCCTTAGATTTGTGAACGTTGTGTCGTGAGAACATTTTTTTTTTTAAGGAGCCCAGTGTGAGGCTCGAACTCACAGCACTGACATCAAGACCTGAGCTGAGATCAAGAGTCAGAAGCTTAACTGACTGAGCCACCCAGGTGCTCCAAGAGAACTTGTAAGATCTACTCTCCTAGCAACCTTCAAACACAGAATACAACACTGTTTGCAGTCACCGCGCTGTACGTGAGAGCCCCCAGGAGCCACTCATCTTAGAACTGCAGGACTGTACGTGTGACCGGCTTCACCAGCACCCCTATGGCCCCACCGTGGCACCTACTACTGCTGCTATGAGCTTGATTCAGATTTCACACATAAGTGGGAACACACAGCGTGTCTTTCTCTGACTTAGCTCACTTAGTATCATGCCCTCAAGGTCCATCTGCACTACCAAAAATGGCAGGATTTCCTTCTTTCACATGGCTGCAAAATATTCAGTGTGTGTGTGTACGTGTGTGTGTGCATGCGTGTGTATGAATGAAATGAAATGTGTTCTTCCTGTTACACCCCAAAACATGCTTCATGGGCTCTCAGGTCAGGTCAGATTTTTCTCATTCACAGAGGTGGTATGGGCTGGGGCAGGTGATCCAGGCACCCCTCAAACTCCTGGTCTCCAGCGATGGTCCCTTTTCCCATGGACTGACACAGATTCATGCAGTCAGAGGGAAGGCACACTCACTGGTCTGTGAATGCCATGATTCAAATTTTTATAAAAAGTAAATTGAGGATGAGTCCCTGTTGTCATTAAATTAAAATAATGAGCTAAACTTTCCCTAGTCCTAGGCCTCCGGGACACAGACATGAGTAAACAGGATGAGGTCTGCGTCAGTTCCTCGGAAAGGACACATGACTTCACTGACTCGGTTCATGAATTTACTCCAAACACGTATCTGTCCTTCTTGACTACCAACTATGGAGAAATGTTGTGCTGACAACCTCAGACCAACTGAGCTCCTTCTTTAAATATATTTTTTCCACGTACCAAAGGCGGGAGTGGTCATAAAAGAAAGTGGGTTCATCTGTAGAGGTGAGCCACTTATCCTTACTCATTGTTGGGATCGCATCCAAAGAGCAGCCTGATTGGTGGAGAACATAACGGGATTGTGACTATGTGGAGCTCGGGAAGTCGGCAAACGTGTCCAAGAAGACAGTCTCCAGCTCATTAAACTGAGGAGATGTCCCTGCTGACACAGTACAGACATGGCTGATTCGTGACTGGTCATCCCAAGGGAACAAAAGCTTGAGTGACTTTGACAACAGGAGGTTCTCCTGGAAAATTTAATATTTCAAGGGAACAAATTTGTGAGCATGGATAATCTTGAATTTCTGTTTATAGCCACATGGTCCAGCAAAATTATCAAAGTTCTTGAAAATAAAAATTTATGACTGAATGGCTACACAAGGGTTTCGTGGCCATGGCCCGACTGACACAAAAACAAATGAGCGCACTTGAGCCGACATTGAACCGTCCCGGGATCCCAGAGCAAATACATCTCTGAACCACACTCTTGGCAAACCCTCCTAGGGCCATGGTCTGATTCGGAGATCACAGCCCATATCTAATGTCATCAAAACAAATGCTCTCTAAGCATATAACTATTTTCTTTCCACAAGTTCTCCCATAGTCCTTGGCAGCTGAGAAACGATCTGGACTCTCATGATGCTGATTTGCACTGTACACCCACACGCTGCATCCCCTGCTCTCCACATCATTTGGGCACATTTCAAAAATGTTGAAAGTGTTTCTCTTCACAAAAACCATGAAGATGAAAAAGCAGTAAAAATTTTGAGGGGCGCCTGGGTGACTCAGCCAGTTAAGCATCTGCCTTCTGCTCAGGTCACAATCTCAGAGTCCTGAGATCAAGTCCCACACCGGATTCCCTTCTCCGCAGGGAGTCTGCTTACCCCTCTGCCCCTCTCCCTGCTTGTGCATGCATGCTCTCTCTCTCTCAAGGAAATAAATAAAATCTTTAAAAGATTTTTTTTAAATGATCTAGAAAATTTTAGAGAGGATTGATATAGAAAACTCCTATGCAAACTTAAGTTTATGCTCTTTTTTAATTCGAAAGCAGAAGTCTTCATGCACCTGCATACACACAGACATGCACACACACACCCCAAACAAAACTGAAACCGCTACAAACAATGCTAACAATCCCCAACTTGACTCCACGGGGGCCCCACACAGGGGACAGCATATGTTGAAAGGACCTCGATGTGGGATGCCACTTGCAGAATAATGTTAACACTGCCTTTTTTGGCAATGGACATAAAAGAAAAAGGACCAAGTGTATGTTACTAGAATACAGATTGGTATTATCAGGAGACAGATACTGTTCACAAAATTTTCTCCCTTCTGGAAGGCAGCCCATCATGACTTTAGGTGGTAAAATACCTTGACTGCTGGGAAGTCTCATGGTAAAAACACAGGGGAAGCCTTCACCCAGGCTGAAGGTGAGTGGTCAGGATGGTGGCTCGGGAGACTTGCCAACAGCTTGTCTGGAGGATGGAAGGGACAGGCAGCAAGAGAAGGAAACCAGCCATGGGCTCAGGGCTCCACGAGGGTATGGGCAGCAGCCACAGACAGTGGACAGACAGGGACTGGAACCAACAGAAGTACCCACATGACGCTGCCCTGTGGTGCCCTATGGACAAGAGGTTTGTAATTTGTGCAACAGAAGAAAGGGAAGAAGTAGCTTACTGACAAAATAATAAAGAAAGAGAGAAGGAGAGACAGAAAAAAGGAGGGAAACCTAGAACCCAGCCACGATAACAAGCTCCATGGGGCAAGCCAGCGAGGGCAGCAGAAGCCTGAACAGTGTTTCCAGGAGTGGGGTACTTGTCCCTTTAATTCCTACCTTGGAATAACGGGTTCTGGGTTCCGTTGCACAGACGTGGAAGGCAGATCTCCGGCTGCTAAGCTGGTGGTCCATGGGGGCTGCCAGTCTGTCTTCCCTCCGCCAGCGCCAGTGGGGCCAGCGGGAGTCACAGACCTTGCCGCTACACCTCCACCCACGCTCCCTGTACAGTTGCTGGCTTCGTGCCATGGCAAAAGTGGAGAGACAAGCATGTGCTCCTGGTGTCTGGGACTGGCCTGGGGCCGACTCACTCTAGCGCGGGGGCCAGAGGACGGTGGCGGGGGAGGCATCAGGAGACATGGGTTAGCGTGCACACAGATAACTAGAGCACAGATTGGAGGTACTTTCTACCCAAGTTTTTACTTCGTGTGTCTATCAATACTCATAAGCACTTGCTGTATGACGCGTGATTGGTTACAGGCATGTAGGCACAGTTCATGTAGCAGACGGACAGCAGAGCGTTCTGTAAAAATACAGGATGCATATAAAATATAGAGAAACATGTCTATCAGCGCATGCTCTTGGATGAACCTACAGTTCTGCTTCCTTTTTAAAAGATTTTATTTATTTATTTGAGAGAGAGGGAGAAAGCGCACACACAGAGGGAGAGTGAGAGGGGGAAGCAGGCTCTCCGCTGAGCAGGGAGCCCGATTCGGGACTCAATCCCAGGACCCTGGGATCATGACCAGAGCTGAAGGTGGATGACCAACCCACTGAAACCACCCAGGCGCCCCTATAGTTCTGTTTAGATATATACAGATTCAGTTTCATTTGTTTTCAATAATTCTATGCTGGCAAAAGCCTCACTTTCCTTGAAATATTGGAAATGTTAATATGAATGGATTTGATCTCCTTTCTTGCTTTCTTTCTAGAAAGACCTTTGCCCAATTTCAAGCTTCAATATCACAGCCAAAGCCTGTATTCTAAGATTGATACACTTGTATGTTTTTTCCTTGTTCTTCATTTTCTATTTTCACTTGGTTTTCGTCTTCATCCCACTGTCAATTCTAGCTGTTGTGTTGTGTTTTGTTTTGTTTTTAAAGAGGGAGAGCAGGTCCCTTCACAGGGGGCAGGGCAGAGGGAGAGACAGAGTCCCAAGCAGGCTCCACGCCCAGCGCAGAGCCCAGCGGGGCCCAGTCTCGGGATCCTGAGAGAATGAACTGGGCACAGTCAAGAGTCCCACCCGTAACCAAATGAGCCACCCAGGCTCCCCTAATTATTTTTTGTTTTCTTGTCATAATCTCTCCAAACTCTTAAAGTAAGGTGGTTCGGTTTGTCAGCTTTGTCCAAGAATATGTCACGGCCACAGTAGTGCCACCTCTCATGCTTTCCTCGACAAATCCCAGAAGCGTGAGTGCACTGCATGGAGAATGAGCCACGGCGGCCCGCTTCATGCCAGCACTGACACGTTTTGGGAAGAAGGAAGCATATGCTTTGTATCTCCTTGGCAAGGGTCAGTGGATTATGGAGAGGCAGCGTGTCTGTCAGAGAGTGGGTACAGGCCTTCTAGGTGTCTGGCAAGGTCCATTTCTGCGTCTCCGAGATGGGTGTCCTCCCTTTTGAGTGAAAGCAGTTCTCCTTCCCACGGCCGGGGAAACCAGAATGTTCCCAAGGGGAGAAAGGTGGAAAGGGGTGTGTCCTCTATAGGGCACAGTGTGTCACAGGAGCCACGGCTGGGACCCAGGAGAGCCCACTCAGGAGCGAAGAGAAGGAACGTGGGGAGCTCCGGTGGGCACGTACCCACGGTGTCTGCCCGTGCCCCAGCCACCTGTGCTGGATCTCAGAGAGAAGTTGCCTTCACAGAGTTAAAGCTACTTTCTAAACAAAGGCTGTTTCTCATCTTTTTCATATTCAGAGCAAGTCAGTTTGTTAAGATAAAAACAAAATTACAGGCTGTGATTTCAACAGAACTACTTTTCCTGGGCTATTTGCATCTAGGCTTCTTGGGACCAGCGGGGAGAGGCCAGAGCCAGGCTCCTGGAAGCCTAGACTGCACTCTCTCTGACTCAGGGGACCCGCGTGCCAGTGACGTCCCCTGTGGCAGCCAGGGGCTGCCCACGGGCAACAGGGGCCTCTCTTCACCCCACATGTCTTTTTCCTTCAGAGCACATGGTAGACAACGTTCCTGACCCAGCCCTTGCAGCGTGGGCTGTCAGCAGAGTCCTTGTTGCCAGGAACACAGTCCTGTCCTACATGCCCTCCCCGGCCCTCTCCTCCCCTGGGACCCGTGGGCTGCTCTGCACGACCAGCTCATACAAGAGGAAGCAGCTGCAGGATGGAAGGACTGGGGCTCTGTGTGACCACACGCATCAGGCTTGCTGACCCACGGGGGAGCGCGATACCTGTCAGAAATAAGGTTAGGGTCGGCAGCTGAAACCAAACTCCAAACTCCGCATCCTTGAGACTTGGCGGACAGTCCGCCTTACTAACAGAACTCAGGCCACTTTGTAAAGTCCCTTCTTTCTCTAAAAAGTTCAAAATCCACTGTCTGTCTTTTTCAGGGGGTCAAACCCTATCTCTCCACAGTGTCCTAGATCCTAAATGAATTCGTGCTATAATGAAAATTTAAAAAATAAACCAGGCTAAAGTTTCCCCTCCTAATAAGAAATGCACTTTGTGGAAAAGAAAAGAAAAAATCCCCGAGTTACATGTGCTTCTGTGTGCACGGTAGTTCTTCCTACTCATGAATAAAAAACGTTTAGTCACAAAAGTGAGAATTTAAAACAACTAAATGTTAGTGACAGATACTTTGATGTGGGATATATCTTGGGTTTCCTTTGAGTCTGAAGGTCAGACGATGTTGGATTCAGCCTGCAAGACTTGGTGCCCTAAGGAAGCGTTTGGCAAACTTCTTGGCCAAGGGAACGTCTCAAGACACCTTCAAATGGGAACCATGTTGGGAAGTCACAGCCAAGCCAGGGCTGCTTGGACAGAATCAGGCTGCCCAGTCAGGGAGCAGCAGAGACATTCAGAGACACACAGCCAGCTCCGGGAGTTCATACCTTAAGAATTTCTGCAGGTACTGGCGGCTGCAGGGTGACCAGGAGAAGATCCCGTTGCGTCCTGCCAACGTGGGGGACATGATGTTGCCCTCAGACTTTTTGCACACGTTCCCTTCTCCATCGTGGACCATGCCAAAGCTGCACGAGAGAGAAATGGCTCTTTCAAAACCAAGAACAGTATCAATGACCTAAGAGACCCCAGCCGACAGGTGTCAGCATGGTGAACTTCTCCATGTCCATGTGCCAGTCAGACAGAAGGAAAATGTCTGCCCAGCCAGGCTGTGGAGCAGAGGCACACATTCACAGAGCTTTCCTGAAGAACTACCATTCGGTCACTTGGAGCATGCATCCAAATGTCTGCTAAGGGCCCATGTTTTAATTACAGAAAGACATTTCAAGTGGGGTGTGGAGGGCAGGTCTCTTGATCTTGGTTGATGAAGCTGACCAATGCTCCATCTGCTCTCATCTCTCTATACTCTTCTCTGCTCACCAGGGATTTTCAGAATTTCCAGGTGTTTGTCAGAAACACAAATGCAGGCTCCTCAGGTGCGTCTGATGCCTCCCACAGCTGGAGAACTGACCACCTGTTACAGCTCCCTGTGGGGCTGACTCTCTGTCCCCACTCCCACCAAGGGCTGCCCCACCTCCTGCCAGGCCTGCACTGTTTGGGGCTGTCCCAGCTGGACAGTGCTTGACCACATTCCCTATGTCCCTTTGGAGGAAGAAGCTCCATGAAGCCCAGCGGGCGTTCTTGCTCCCTTTAACTGCAAGAAGCATTTGAAGGTACACCTGTTCCTCCTGCCTCCAAACCAGACCACTCTGGGTTCCAGCCCTAGCTGAGCAAAGGGGGCCATCTCAAGCCGCAATGGCTCTTGAGGTACTTACTAGTGTCCTTTATAGATGTTCCAATTGGTAACCCCCTCACCATCACTAGAGAAAACTCTAGCCCTACACCGGTAAGCATGCCACAAAGTGAGTTGCTACATCTCTCTGCCAAGTCAGCTTCTTCTTCTTGACTGCCCAGAGCTTTGGCTGTAGGAGCGTCTCACACCGCTGTCTTCATCTACCCCAGAAGAACACAATTAATGGATTAGGAAGAACGCCCGGGGGGTCTGGGAGTTCTCTGTGACCCTGAAGACTTCCCATGAGGGCAAACATATTCTTAGAGAGTTGAGCCATTGTTGGCCACTAGTATCTGGTACCTGCCCAATCACACTGGGTGGATTATTAGATAATGGGGTTCCACATGAGTGGGTACAGAGCAAAGGGGGAAGGCAAGGGGCAAAACAAAGAAGGGCAGGAGGGTTACTGGGTTTGGGGACAATCTGCCACCAAGAATCCCATGAGAAGAGGCAGGGCGGCAGGGACCGAAGGCTCTGAACACTGGGGAAGGGAGCTCCAACCATGGGCCAGGGAATCTGTATTTGCTGCTGAGGCTGAAAACCCATTTTCCCCACTGCACTGGCTAGCTTATGGAGATCTAATAGTATCAGTAAAAATAACAATTCACACTTGTAGGCACCCACTAGTGTTCAACCAGGCTATTAAACACATTATCTGTATTTTCTAACTTAAGCCTCCCTAAAAGCCGATAAGGCAGGGAGAATATCACGACAGCAAGACTGAGGACTGGAGAGAGCCGTGACCACGGTCTCAGAGTCAGAGCTGTGACCTGACACTCCGACATCGGAGCCCAGGCGGGACCCGGGCAAGAGCGTAACACGAGCACCATTGGAGGACGTATCCAGGGAAATCTGGCACACAAACACTGTTGAATTTCTACAAAATTCCTGCTTGGTACCAAGGGTGACGCAGATGGACTCATTTCGGTCTCCACCCATCCTCTGAAGTTCTATTAAAAGCAATCAATCAAGGCTGGAGTAAGCATACAGCAGAGGAAATGTGTCATGGCCGTGAAAAGATTCAGACTGTAATCTCATATGGGTGGCTGCCGTGGGGAGAAAGTTAGGAAAACGAACAACCAAAGTACACTCCCCCGCCTGGCCCTGGACTCTGCAGACAACACGCACACTGTGGTTCCATAGGTGCCCCAACAAATGTGCTACCACTCTGCCCACGTTTCTAAAGACATGAAAGCCGTGATAGCCCAGTTCCGGAAACACGTGGGTCTTAAACATTTTCATCTAAGGTGTCTTCCATGATTCTTTCTAGAATTGATTCTCAAACTCTGCTGTGCGTCCGAATATCTGAGAAACACACCACACGGTGTGGTTCCCCAAAGCCCATCTTATAGGTTTTTATATTTAGTAGCTTGGGAGTTAGGTTCTGGTATCTGGGTGCATTCTAACACAGTAAGGTGATCCTGATGCCTGCCCAAATCTCGGCACGACCACATGGCAGTGAGCTGTCTCTCCAAGTAGTGTGATGCCCATATACACTGTGCTGTGATGGACGCCAGACGTCAGCATGGAAGTACCCGACAGTGGTCACATTTCAGTGCAACATTAACAAAGTCAGGGAAGGACAGACAGAGCTCATTTTGAAGATAAGGTTGGTCGGCGGAACCAAGAAATATAGTTACGACCCAACCTGCACGATACCAGGAGTGTTCTTTGTTTCCGTGAGCCAGAGTATTCTATTCAAAGTTTCGGTCATCCCATAGGTTGGAACAGTAAATATACTGTTTTCTTTCCTCCCTACTAGCTTTTAAGTTTCGAAAGGACAGAGACCTTTCCTGTCCATGCTCAGCCCCAGGCCAGGGCACTCACGAGCCCTAACAGGTGCTTCAGTGACGTCGGTTGAATAAACAAAGTCCAACCTTCCAGCGAGAACACCCACCCAAATACCCAAATGGAAGCATAATTTCAGATTAAACCGGACTTGAGAATTACATTCAGCATGCGATGCTTCCAGCGCCTCTCCAGCATGTTCTGAGGGACTCAATTCCATCAGCACGCATTCTGCCATTACTAACGATGCACCTGGAATGATGAGTGGCCACGCCTTGTTGGAGGTTGTACCAACTATTTCAGACCATGCAGACAGCGGTAGTTAAGGAAACAAGAAACCCTTCGAAGCAACCATGGGCCAGTGTCATGTGGAGGGCTACATCCACCCTTGGTGCCATGATGGTGCCACAGGAGGGCCTAGGTGTCAGCCTCTGATGTGGACTTTCCAAGGAGCACAATGCAGCCCCCTCAAGAGGGAGAAAGCTGGTATGGACACGGCCTCAGGTGGGTCTCAGGGGCTGGAGCAGGTCAATTAACCAGAAGAGTGGAGACTGAAGGAACGCCTTCACAAGCTGTTGGATTGAGTCACCAGGCCTCAGTTTCCTTACCTGTATAATGCGGTGGTAAAACCTTACTCTAAAATCACACAAAAGACCTGACACCACGCATATCACAAAGGAAAATTCAGAATTTCTATCCAGTTCCTGATTCAAATGGTCTTGCTCCAATTACTCACTACCTAGCTGTTACTTGTATATGTACGGTGCGTGTGGGTGCACGCACATGTACACATGTTCAAATGAAGGTCAATAGGTTTCAAGTGCTTTTTGGATACAGAAACAAAAACTCTTAGGAGGAACAATAAATAAAATTGGGAAGAAATGAGCCTCCGACCTGCTAGGGCTCCCTAGAGGGCAGTCTGACGATCACTGGCCAGAGGATGTCTAAGGGGCTGCTGCCTTGATTTTGCCCAAGACCCCAGCATCATGGTGCCTCCCTGACCCCACTACAGGGCTCAGGTTGGTATCAGTGCACAGCCGCATCTCAGGGAGGTTTACACCTCACCATCAAACTCTCGGAAGGGCCTCTAACCTCACCAGCCAAACCCGCTGGAGCTAGGTATATTACCAAGTCACTTCTGCTTCTTTTGAGACTTTCTGGGACGTCTGTGATAAAGTCCCTTGCAACGCCCACAGCCCACACAGCCTGATCGGTGCACGCGCTATCTATCTTGTCCTTCTGTGAACGCTCTTGGAGGGGGTGAATCCCTAGTCTCTTCATAGAACCCCGCACAATGCTTTGCTGGCAGAATAGAAATTGCGCCCAGTGAACGGGTCGATACGTCTGGGAGAAGACAAGTGGCAGAACGATGGGTCAAGAGTATTTCTAAGCACAGCAAATATGCTTTAATATTGTCTTGATGGTCTGAAACGATAATGCAAGTTCAGCACATAATCCTGTGTCGTACGCCGGCAACCTCAGCTCAACTCGTGCACCTTCCATTGTCCCTGCACACTCACGCCGAGGGTCTCGGGCTCCCTTGGTTTGGCAGATGGGAGCCTAGGTAAGAGAAGAAAAGGCAACACAGGCAGATGGCTGCCAGGCTGCGGGAGAACCGCATGGATCCGGGACCCCAGGCCTATGGTCCTACTGCCCAAATGGCATGACTTCCTTAGTACATGGGGATTTTTCAAATGGATTCATGCCTTTCAGGGGACAGAGTCCCCAAAACCTGTAGTTCAGCGCTCAGTATGTCTGCGTCAGTTCTCCAGAACTGCCTCTAGCAAACCACACGTCCCATGCCAAGTGATCGAATACAACTAGGAAGGTTACCCTACGCCACTGACGTAAGAACCAGCCCAACTGGATCCCACATCCTACAGGGCAATACACATCCTCACATCTAGTCCCGTCTCCCTCCCTTTCCAACACAAATCCAAACCCCTGTTCTTAGCGATTTCTGTGCGCAGGTCTGATTTCTCCACAGAAACCACAGATGTCCTGACGCGAAAATAACTCGACTCATTCGGAGAAACAGGCCACATGCGTTCAGGAAGATCCTCTCCGAGGTAAAGGTCAGAAAAGCTCTGGCTGAAAGGCCTGGAGAAAAGCACGCCTCTGACCTCAGAGATACCCTCTGAATGTAAACAAACCTGAGAAAGGAAAACGGACCCCTAAAACGGGAGGTTTCACAAAGTCCTAACAGATGTGGGATTACTTTCCGATTCTTAGTTAACAGAACTCGAGAAATTGGCCCCGCCTGGAGTTCATTGCCAGGCACGCTGTTGACGTTACGACGTCTGATCCATGCACAAGGACAGCTCTCCTCCAAGAAGTGACAGTTACTAAATCAGTGAAACGAATAAGTGTGTTCATTTTCAATTCAACAAAAATCCATGGGTTCAGTCCCTGAGCCTTGCACGCTTTTCTCATCTGATGTAGTTGCCACAGCAAATGACTCACTTGAAACACTCTTGGCTCATCTGCCTGCTTGTCCCTGACTCACTCTGTCTGTTCCATTCGTTCACACTCACCGAACACTCAGCACCGTCTACCCTCCAGCCTGGTGGAGCAGGGAGAGGGGCATCCCCGGAGGTCTCCCCGGCTGGAGGTGCGAGTGAAATCGTCCTGCAAATCCCGCAAAGCGCTCGACAAAGCGCAGGTGATATATGACGACAGCCATTGCTACTATCAGTAAGTACTACGGTGGCTCAGTTTGCCGTTGGACTCATGCAACTCATTGGCCCATTGCCCCGCGTACTTCCTGTTTCCTCAACAGGACAGGAAGTGACCTCACCGGCGACGGGGTGTGTTCAGAGCTCCCAGTTCCTGACCATTGCATAATGTCCTGTTCCCGCTGGGTGCTCAAGAAGGAGCTGGTAATTTTCTGGAGATGAAGTCCATGAGGAGAGGGACGCCCCTTCATCCAAGCCTACAGCCCATTTCCTTCCTCCCATCCACTGTCCCACTTGGAATAACAGTCTTATCTTCTTTGGAAAATGCTCTTTCCATCTAGACCCAGCCCTGGTGACGAAAGAATATTAATTGATGGCCTAGGACAAAGTAAAGGAGGCGCTGATCCCCGCTGACACTGACGACCTGTGTCTGACGCGGCTGGTTTAACTCCGGGTAGACCAGCCGGCTGTAGCTGTGCACACTGCCGGTCCCGGCCATCATCCATTCTCTTAATACTGAGCTGCTCAGTCCTCGGTGCCTTGAACATTTCCTACCTGGATTGTTTAATTAAATTCAGGTATGGGTCAGGGGACAGCCAGAGCCTCATGTCGTTAACATAATGAGAGTTTTTGAAGTTTTAGCTGTGGCGGCCTATTAGAAATACAATTATGATTTAGCTGGAAGTTTCATGAAGGGTAGGACAATGTTCTAGGCACCGAGAGAGTCAATCATTAGCTATAACGATGATGGGGTCAGAAGCTGAGTATAAGCTTCATTGTCAGGTCATCGGTTCATACAGCCAAGTCTGCAAGGGCTCACGGGGCCGCACTACAGGCAGGTGCACGTACACAACACACACTCAGACATGTGGGGACACACGCATATGCATGCACACACACACACACACACACACACAGATGCTGTGAACGGGATGAGAGCACACACATGGCCTCATTCCATTTCTACCAGGGGATGGAGAAGTCAACTCTGCAAAACAGGAATGGCAAACACTGCGTTTTGCAGGTTTTGTGATTTGCAAGTAAATTCAGGGTGAAAGTAAAAAACAAAACAAAACAAAACAAAACAAAAAACAAAAAACAAAAAACAGAAAAATGGTAAATCCCGGTTGTGCATTTTCTGGGAGAAACCCCAGTCCAAGCTGCTGTGTAGCAGGAAGACAGCTGTACTCCCACTGCTCCAGCTCCCACTGACCTGGCCACGTCCAGGAAGCCAGCAGCCAGCAGGAGGGCACAGCAAGGAAAATGCTCGACCTAAGGCAGCTTATAGAATGATTAGCTCAGGAAACCTTATTCAAGACTGATAGTGCCTGTAAGTAATTGATAGACAGTGTTCATTCTATAGGAACAAATGGAAAACTTTCATGTAAAAAGATGCCACCAGAGACCAGCCGCTGGCTGAGTGCTGCCCATCCAGCACGGACGTCTACCTGTGCCAACCCCAGGCTCACCACCTACCCTGATGCTGCCCTGTTACGCTGCACATCTGGACGCGTGGGCTGCAGACCAGCTCCTACCAGCTCCCACCCCTAGTCTAATCTGCACTCCCTGAACAGCTTGACACACCAATCAAAAGACATCTCTACAAATTACAAAAGTGATACAAGAAGGTCAAACTCCAGAGTAACTAGTGGACAAGAGGAGGCCTTCTCTCTCTCATCCCTAATGGGAACTAACCATGGAGCGAGATCGGCACACAGGACCCACATTCAGAACAGGATGAAGGAGCGGAGGCTGAGACGACTGTGCAATCACACAGTCATGCCCGAGCAGGGACGGAAGGACGAGCAGAGGAAGGAAAGCGTGAATGCGGAAATCACCACGGCTTTAGACTGTGCACGGCTCGGCACTAAAATAAAAACGTAAGAAGGGATGCCTGTGTGGCTCAGTAGGTTAAGCATCTGACTCTTGATCTCAGGGTTGTGAGTTCAAGCCCCATGTTGGGTTCCATGCTGGGCGTGGAGCCTGCTTAAAAAAATAAAGACAAACAAAGAAAAACCATAAGAAGGACCTAAGGGATCCACAGCCTCCTTGTCCGTGACATTCTCCTTGTCCACGACGTCCTCTTTGGACACACGTGATGCCCCTTACAGACCTGACCTAATGAACCAGTGTCTCTGTGGGAATCACCCAGCAGGGAGAGCACCCCAGGATCCACCCTTCCACAAAATCACTCACTTGTGTCCAGACTCGTGGGCGATGGTGAAGGCCAGTCCAAGACCCGTGTCTTCATTAACTGTGCAGCTGCGGTATTTACTGCACATTCCACTTATGGGCGCAAATCCTATGGGGTGCAGAGATCAAAAGATTATAGAGCAGTGTTGTTGCGATAAAATAGAGAAAGAAGGTGTACTACACAAGCATCTTTATCCTCTGTCCTTTGGAGAAGTGTGTTTCTCATCTCCACGGGGGAAATCTGAATGGGAAACTCTCGGACAAGCACATAAAGGCTCTTTGCAAGGTTCATGGAGGGGATCTGCTCTCCACCTGGAAAATGATTCATGGCTCTGCGTGGCATTCATGTTACATTTATAATTGGGGCAGAGTAGAAAAGGGAATTCCCTGTGCATGGAAAAGATTCTCTACCTTTAGATATAAAAATCTGTGTTCTCAGAAGCCTGAATAGGAGAGTACTGTGGTGAATGTGTGCATCAGGAGGTCCCCAAGACTAGCCCAGTCCAAGGATTCACCAGAGGGATTCATGGGACTTAGCCTTTGTTATACTCCCAGGTATAGTTCCATACACATACAGAGGAGGCAGGACAAAATCAGCAACAGGAACGCATGCACAGGGAGAGAGCGGAGGAAACCATGCAGGAGTTTCTAGAACTCTCTCCCAGTGGGCCCACAAAGGAGGAACCTCAGACACTCAGGACCCAGGAGTTTTATCCAGAGCTAATCCCTTAGCAGCCCTGCCTAGTGTGGACCCAAACTCTAGACTCCCAGAAGGGAAGCAGACGTCCTGTGGAAGCCCTACTATCTGTACAAGCAAACGGCGTAGGCACAATGAGCCAGCTCACCAAGCAGGGTGCTGGGAAGCCCCCTGGAGTCTGGGTCTCAGAGGCCAGCCAGGGCCCGCCTTGGAAGCAGGACTTTCCAAGAACAAGCAGCTACGATTAACCTCTATTCGACTCAGCTGTCTGACTAAGAGCCCTAAAAGAAATGCAGAGTCAGGAAAAATGTCCAAGAGAGCCCTGCTAATTGCATACTGTGCTTCACACGATTTGGAAAAAAATATCAGAGTACTGCCTCCAAGATAAATCCAGCCTCATAAATATGTTAAAAAACTTGCTAGGTTTGGGGCACCTGGGTGGCTCAGTCAGTTAAGTATCTGCCTTCAGTTTAGGTCTTGATTCCGGGGTCCTTGATTAGTCCTGGGATCCATCTCTGAGTTGGGCTCCCTGTTCCATGGGGAGCCTGCTTCTCCCTCTCTCTCTGCCCCTCCCCCTTCACTTGCACCCTCTTAAATAAATAAGTAAGAATCTTTTAAAAAATTGCTTTAATGTGCGTCTTGAGCGAGGGACTGCTCCTCGGGAAGTCGTCACTTTGGGTGAATAAACACACACGTCTATGCTTGGCCTAAGTCCGTCCAGGGAAGCCCATCTCTGCTGGCAGCCCTGTTCAGCAGCGTCCACCACCATGGATCTGCTCTGGGGGGCAGTTTCTCAACGTCCTGGGTCCCCAAGGGCGCACAACCCAAACACCGTCCTCAAAACTCCGAAGGAGGGTCTTACCCAAGGTGTCACATGGCTCATTCTTCCAGGAACATATGTCCAGACCCGTCAGCAAGATGGCATGGTCGTGGCGCGTGCCGTCTCTGCCCATCAACCCAGACTGCCACTGGCAGAAGCTGCTTAAGGTGTGGTCAGCGTGATGGCTTATCACGAGCCCCGGCTGTGCGAGACAGACCAACAGAGAAAACACATCAGTAAGTCCCATCTCCACTACACAGAGGGGTCCCAATGGTCTACAAGCGGAGCTACCCATTTCAAGGACTAAAATCCAAAAACGGGTACAGATTCAGGGTGGGCACTTCCTTTCGTTTCTGTGGTTCTGTATGAAGACAGCTGGGATGCAGTTAGCTGACCTTGAAGGCATTTTCAATGCCCCAAGGAGATCGAGTCCTTGTGCACGTGTGGGCTGCCATCGACGTCTTTGTAAAACACTTTGTGAACTTATGTCAGGCAACAGGACCCTTGCTATGGGATTCCACACGTGCACGAAAACACACCTAGATGGTTGATTTCGTAACCAAGCTGGGCAAGTGGGATTTCCGATTTATAAGTCTAACCATTTATCATGACAGTGTTAGACTAAGTCACTTTCCTCTAGAAGCAACACGGTTATGAGAAGGGGCAGGTCAACCGGGAAAGCTCTTTTTCTAGAAAACAGACTGGAGCCAGCAGGAAACTATGCAGGACACATCCCACCAGATGCCTATAGACCGTGTTCTAACAGAGCAACAGCGAAATGTCAGCGTGAAGGCCGCCCGCACGCCTGGGGCATTCAGAAGTGGGGGGTCAGGAACACCCCTCAGCGCCGGCTGCAATGAGTTATTTGAACTTTGCTGCTCTTTCTTACTGTGGCTCCATCCGAGAAAGCCAGGTTGAATGGCTCAATTCCAGGACGACTTGAGTGTAGCCCTCACGACTAGATGTCGGGTTGAAATGTGCGTTTCTGGCTCCCTGGCGAGGTTTTCTCCTCCAGGGCTGATTTCGTCTTTGCACAAAGTCAAATGCACCTCAGCCTAATGCCGGGCCTCCACTCTGGGGCGTGCCTCACATTCCTGAGCAGGTGACTTCCAGGAACACCGCATTAATCAAAGTTAACACAGGTGTACGATCAAAAGATAACCTCGCTTATTCTTTGCAGCTTGGATGAATTCCAAGGTGAAAACGATTTAATACAAGGAATAATTAACCTGTCACCTGAGATGCCCTGCCAGTGGGGCACCCCCTGCCCAGACGCTCACTCACACAAAGACAACGAAGCTGTATCTTCCGGACCATTGGGGCTAGAAACAGGCTTGCCCCCGCAGGCCCTCACCCTGCCCAGAAAAAGACCAACATCACAGAAGCTCCCCAACTGGACACACCTTAGACCTTCTGAGGGATCTCGGGTTTCATTTTAAATGAAAACACTGTTTTATAAACAAGAGAACTGTGGCGAATGGAAGACCTTGCTAAGATATCAGCAAGGGCGGCTCTGTCCCCGTGCGGAGCCAGCAATGAGCGTAGGGCCAAGTAGAAGCGAGAGTCCTGCATGGCGGAGATGCCCCCGTTACCTGTGCTGCAGAATGTGCGTCTACAGCCTCCCTGTGAACTGAGCGCACGCCCCGGCATTTATGCAGGGATGCTGGGATGGAGGCAAGGGGATGTTTTTATCCACTGCGACCAAGATCTGGCATGATGGGGGGTTTGGAAGCAATGAGAGACATAGACTTGACATTCCAGAATCTCTATCAAAACATAGCACTGTGAGTGGAGGCGGCAGGGGTTGGGGCGGTCCATCTTAGGAGTTAGGAAGTGACAGAGGAAAACAACAGTGCCACACAGTATGATTCCACTATCGTTTCTGTCTACTGGCAAAGAGCAGAAACGGCTCCTTTCCGCCTGGGAGCCTAAAAGCTCATGGTGGGGAGGGGGCTGAAGACACACTGTGCATCTCTATTTTCAACAGGCTCCCATCCATATGGTTAAGGCAGGTCTTCCATTCTATCTTCTCCTACGCCTCCTAAGAGAGAATTCCTCCGCACCTCTGCCCATTTGCACGCACACACGTACACAAGCACACACACAATTCAAGTCATCATTAAAGGAACTGATAAAAGACTCATGGCATTAGACAAAAAATATTACACACTTTTTGCTCCCAAGGAGGGAAAAGTCAAGAATCCACAGCCAATCACACTAAGAGAGAAAAAAAAAGCACCTCACTTTGCCCGTATTTTTCTGGGGAAAAGCAGCTGTCTGTGTCAAAGACAGATTACCTGTTCTTCCTCCAGAAGGATCAGACCTACAATTGCAATGTTGATGTTTCCTCCTATCGTTCCGTCCTTGAACAAAGCAGATACCTGGAAAAGACAGGCAGTCATGTCAGCCCCACACCTGGTGCCATTTCCCTGTTCCCTGCATCCTGCCAGTGACGGCGGGTCTCTTGCTCTCGTGACACGGCAGTGCTGCCTTTCTTACACTGCTAGATGGACAGGCACAGACGTCGACAGTCCGGGTGGAGTAAGTGTTGAGTCCTTATCGCTGGGCAGGTGACCAGACGGGATGCCAGCAACGACATCCACATTCAGGGGATAGAATGCAAAGTGCGTTCACAACATCGTCATCCCAGCTCGCTCTCAAACCACACTTATGTGACCTGGGATCTTGTCTTCCGTTACCTACATATCACTGGGTCACGTTTCTCATCACTCCTCCTCATCACAGCAACTGCCGATCTGGGACACAGGACATTTTACCCGAGACGGCAGCCTACAGGGTTGTAGGCTTTTCTGACTTTGTAGATAAAATAATGCATATTCAGTATTTAAACCTTAGCATTCCTGAAGAGGTGGGCATCTTCAGGATGTCATCATATCATCCTGTATAGCCATCTAAGGTCACACATAAGCAGATTTACTGACTAAGGCATCTCAGCATCCTCTCACAGATTTCTGGTAAATGAAGACACTGAGTCACCCAAACTGTGCCCCCGGCTCACAGAGCAGGCCGGACGGCTCCCCCCTCCTTATGGTGTTCTCTGAAGTTGTGAACACGGCCCTTTTGGCTGGGGCACAGTAAGAGTGAAGAAGTCCCCACAGATAAGATACTTCTTGTGTGCAAGTCGTGAAGGCACGCACCCCATCCGGGGATTCCACACGTGGCTTCAACAAGAAGGACTCGCCTACCATGTTGAGTATGGTCAGCACATAGGTGGTGACGTTCTCGTGCCCGTGGTTCTGCATCATCTTCCTGTCGACCACCACCAGCGTCTCCACGTTCAGCTCTTCGTTCCTGTGGGACTTCAGGAGTGAGCGCTTGTGCCGCCAGCGAGGCGCGTACTCGTCCGGCAGGATGAAGAGGTCCCCCCTGGGAGGCCTGGGCATGTCTGTGCAGCGGGTGTTCCGAGAACAAACGAAAGCAAAGTCATCACCAAACCAGCGGTGGAACTCGTTATGTAGAAACCGGCTTTTCAAAATGAACGTTCACGTGTGAACCATAGACCCCTTGAGACTCTGATTCAGAACTCGCACCAAAGTGGAGCTTGAAATGCAATTCAAGCTCGCGCAACCTCGATGGGATGGAGGCCATCACTGTGTCTCCCTCTGTGTAGTTCTGTCCTGGTTTAAAGCAAGGAGAGGGGACCGCTGGGGTCTCGTGTTCTAGCCGCAGAAGCACAAAGCCCAGTGACCACCGGCATAAGGATCTGCGGGCCAGGCCTCTGCGGAACACCAACTAACAAAGCAGTAGGACCAACAGTTACGATGGCACCATCTTGCCTCATTTGCTTATTTGAACGATTTTAGTGGCCTGATTCTTCTTAAAGCTGATGCCCACGTCTGGACACATAACCAGTTTGTCTATCGTGCTTCAAATGGGTTACAAACTGTGTGCCACTTCACGGCAGGGCTGAATTTCCTAGAAAGTGCCCTAAATATTTACCTGATTTAATCACAAGAAAAAACATACTCCGTCCTCTTAGAGCCATTTATAAACTGTCTGGGCGGGTGCCTGGGTGGCTCAGTGGGTTAAGCCTCTGCCTTTGGCTTAGGTCATGGTCTCAGGGTCCTGGAATCGAGCCCCGCATCGGGCTTTCTGCTCAGCGGGGAGCCTGCTTCCTCCTCTCTCTCTGTGCCTGCCTCTCTGCTTACTTGTGATCTTTCTCCCTCTCTGTCATATAAATAAATAAAATATTAAAAACAACAACAAAGTCTGGGCATTTACAATTGGTATGTTAACACAGCACCACAGGCCATCGGGTTAAGGTGTTTCTGAAAAGCTTTTCAAGTGAAAGTAGACTTCAGATCACCCACACATCTGGGTGGCACTAATTCAGAGCAACGCCAGCTCTATTCATGGACTGCGCTGCTCAAAGTTGCTATTTCATTTCACAGGTACCCACCACTGGTGCATTTTGTCTCTTTGCTAAAATGCTCTCAAACCTGAATGAACCTTGTGGAGGATAGTAATGACTCTGGCCACGTCATCACAGCACGCATCCTGTGCCAAGGACGTCGATGCTGCTGCAGAGACACGACTGCACTCTAAGAGCTGTCTCTATGCCCACTCCGGGTACGGTTGGGGCCACCGAGGCACAGGAAGGGAAGGTCACTTGCTCACAGCCCCTCCCTAGAAAGGGTCAGAAATGGGGGCCCTAGCTGACTGAACGGTCCCGGAGCTGTCTGGTCATCTTCACCCTTGACTTCAAGCAAATCATTCTGCTTTCAACGGCCCCTTCGCACAGGTGCCAAAACACACACCAAAAAACGCCCATTTTCTGAACCAGAGACTCCAGTGGGAAGGTTCCTCGTATGTGTGAGCCCCACGAGCCAGAAGGCAGGCCGTCCTGCGGGGAAGTGCCAAGCCCCATAAACAACATGGAAACGTCCTTGCCTAGAGAGCGGTGGTCTCAGGAAAGACAGGCTTCAGCCTGGAAGCAGCGGCCATCACTTCTGCCAGTGTGATGGCCCCCGAGCATGCATGGGATGGCTGTGCACCCAGCAGGGAAGGGACAGAAACCTCTGGCAAACCAAACTGCACCGTGTGGGTCACTAATGTCCTCCGAGAAGCACTTCATGGCCCTTTCCTTCTCACATCTGATTACGACTGGCCAGCCCCTGCAGCTGTCCCCTCTCCTGCTCCCTGTCCAGGCAGCCCCAGGTAGCCGAGGCTGACACCCTCTTCTGATACCCTTCCGCCTCGGTCTCCCTGACTTTCTCGGACTCTAGGTCTCCTCCCTTTGTTCCCATCCCGTTCTTCCGGCAGCTAACTGAGCCCCTGACTTAGTCGATCTGGGTTTGAGCTTCTCCCGTGAGCGTAGCTCCTGGATTTTGTTTACAGGTGTGCGAGTCAGTCGACACACAGGTGCTGATGGCTGTGGCGCTCGCTGCTCTGCTCTAAGTGCAGAGTGATCACCGTCATTCACCCCAGTCCGCCTGCAACACGACCACCTCTGTTTTAGGGTGCTGGGTCCAGCGGCCAACAAAACCAGCAGGGAAGAAAGGGCTGGCAGAAGATGGGCTCACGGGGCAGAGGGTAAGTTTAACCCTTACAGTGGTGCTGGAGGGGAAGCTGAGGGACATGAGAGAAATTGCAAAAAAAAGCCAGAACTCTCATTCCTGAGCTGTGAGAGGCTCCCACGTAAGATGGGACTATCACATCGCCTCCTGAGTGTTCACACAACAAAGGACTGCCACAAAGTGCTGGTGATAAATTGTGGGTAAATTAGGTCATGCCTAGCCTGTCCTTTTGATGTGGTGAAGTAGAGAATAGAAATATGTATGGAGATAAATTACCTCGCAGAAAACTATGTGGCTTCCATAAATCTAGACCTCAAAACGATAGAATTACTGAGCAGACCTGCCAGGTTCCTTTGAAGACAACCAGTGGATTCTGCATTTCTGGGCAGTATGTCATTTCATCTGCCCAGGGAATGGTTCTTTTAAACAAAAAACCTCCCATGATCTGTCCATCCACTGTGAAAGACGGTGCACAGTGAACACGCAGACCACAGAATCATCACGCAGACGTAGCAAAGACGGTCTATTCATTCCACCTTGTGGAGAGACTGCTCCAAAGAGCAGTTGAAACATTCTACGCGCTGACACGACGGTCCCGGGGGTAAATGTGCACAAGAATCGCTCTTACGTACGTTTCTTGCGCCTTCCGCAGAAATGCTGCTTTGATGGGTGCCGGAGGTCGGAGCTGCCGTGCAGGGCCGGATTCCCCAGCTCCCGATCCCTCTCTGTCATGATGGCCTGGGCAGCCCCCGGAGCCCGCACGTCTGCCGATCTCTTGTACAGTATGTGGGAGGGAGACCCAGCCTGGGCAGGGTCCTGCAGTCTCCCCGCCAGGTGGGAAGGAAGTGGTTTTAGGAAGTAATCTGCTTCTTGTGTTCTTATCATGCCAGACTGGAAACAGAGGAAGAGAGAAAGTGCGGTTATACCTTCTGACCAGAGGACACCCTTCTCCAAGCATCCCTCTTTATGACCCCTCCACAAGCGTGCTGTTCCCTCCAACACCTGCGCTGAGGATGAGGAACGGGAAGACCCATCACTGAGCCTTCCCATCCTCCCCCGCTCAGGGAGACCAGCGTGCAGACGTTCCAGGACGTGACGCCAGGAGCAGGGGGGGCTCCTAATACACTAATGGGGGGACTCAGACCACGTGATGGAGGAGAAAGCTCACATACACAGGCTCTGATGTTAGCAGGGGTGCAGAGGAGGTCCCACACAGGGAGAGAAGATCTCAATCCTAATAGAGTCATTTACGCAACCCCTTTCAAACTTGAATAGTTTGTGACGCTTGATATGAAAGTGTAATTTAAGATTAATCCAGAAGAAAGCACAAGAGAATTCACTGAGGATATCAGGAAAGTCCTTCTCAGCAAGGTATCATGGAAACAAGAAAAAACTAACACATAAAAACACTAAAAATGCCTGCAAAGCAAATGTGGCATAAAGAACACTTAAAAAAAGTCTTAAAAGAGGCAACATTAAGGGACTGCTTTTTACCTTTTAGAGTGACAAATATTTTTTTATTTTTATTTATTTTTTAAGATTTTATTTATTTGACAGACAGAGATCACAAGCAGGCAGAGAGGCAGGCAGAGAGAGGAGGAAGCAGGCTCCCTGCTGAGCAGAGAGCCCAATGTGGGGCTCGATCCCAGGACCCTGGGATCACAACCGGAGCTGAAGGCAGAGGCTTAACCTACTGAGCCACCCAGACACCCCAACAAATATTTTTTTAAGACCTAGTAATAACCACTGTTGGTTATTTCCAGTGTGACACTCTGGAAAAGTGTGCCCTGGGGCAGAGCCAGGATAGGGGCCGCCACGGCTCCCGCCATGTCCACGACTCTAAAAGTGTGATGAGTTCTCAGGATGAGCCTCCTGGAATCTTACCAGGTGCTTCTTTTAGGCACTTCTCCAGCACTGAGCAGTGCGTCTGACTGTGCACTGCAGCGTAGTGTGCGGCAGCATAGACGTACAAACAAAACAAAGTAATAAAAATTAATGTTTACCAATTCATTCAGGGTAATGTTTGTTTTTAAAGTATCCATATGTATTTGAAGAGTACAGAACATTTAACGAGATCAGATAATTATGTGCTCCTGATAATCATAATTAAATATTTTGCCTCAAGTTCCCATGACTGCGGCCAACATCTTCTGGAGAAAGACTGAAATCAGGGACTGCAACTCTGTGAGGTGGGTACCCGCTCACACTCCTCCCTAGGATGAGGAAATAGAGAGGTGCAAGGATCCACTTCTGTTTCCAAGGAAACCTGGCTCGGGAGTGGAGCGTAGGGATTCCAGCACAATCAGGATAGGCTCAGAATCTGCACATTGACCATTTTTATTGTAAGAGTTTCCAAAAGGGATTATTTTTTAAAGTGTGTAATAGTGTGAGCTCAACTGTTCCCATTTTAGAAAGCATGATCTGCGCGCCCTTAGAGAACCTTCCTGCGGTAAGTGAAAGAAGTCGCTGATGGTGGTGGCAGCGGTCTTTGGGGCAAAGGCTGCACGAGGGATGAGCTTGCATCCTTCTCAGACTTTCAGACTCCTTCGTGCTCTCACATCAGTAATGTCAGGGCATCGCTGGATCATGGGATTACAGACTTTTAAAACTTTTTGTAAATGTTACTCCATATTGGCATAATTGGGGAATATAATTAGTTGCTTCTGCACAGCTGTCCAGTGGCCACTTAGAACTCTCTGGTACAGAAATACTAGTCTTACCGTCCTGCTGATTTTCCCCAAAGTCACTTTGATAGTTGACGACAATGAGCGAGACACTTAGTGACTCGCAGAGGCTGACCCATGAGACCCTGTCCTAAGTGTGCCTCTGATTTCAGAGCCTGAGTCTGACTCTCGCTCGGGGAGTGCTGTGTGTCCCTGCCCACCAGATGAAGCTCCTTATTGGGCTGGGCCACCCCATGTGAGTCTGAATGTCTGCACACAGGGGCATGACAGGCTTGGGAAAACACTTCTTAGATCTCGCAACACAGAAAAACACAACTCTCAGGAACAGGAAGGTTGGGGTGGGAGAGAAGTTTTTCAGACATTCAGAGACTAAGCATTGGCCCTGGAGTTCCTGCTGGTGGGGCAGGAGGTAAACACCGCCAGCTATCAAGGAAGCCATCAGCACCCTGGGAGGTAGACCTCCCAAGGCCCAATACCACCTGGCAGTGGGCAGGCTGAGTGCCTGGGCTTTACACCCAGCATCACAGAGCGGGAGGAGGCACCTGCCTCCCAGGGCAGCCTGGGAATCTCTGTGTCCTCTATAAACTCCTGTAGGACCTCACTTGAAAGTTCACAGTTCTATCAAGGAACAGACAAGTGTGGAAGGACATAACAGCTACATCCACGGAGGTCTCATCCTTCCTGCATGTAAACTAACCCTGGAGTAGCGTGAGCGGTCACGGATACACTCACCCTCAGGAAGTAACATGACCCAAGAGGTTTTCCACACCTTTGAAAGTAACCAGTTCAAGTAGTAAATTAAAAAAAAAAAAAAAAAAAAAGAATTCATTTTCACCTTAAAAAAAAAAAAAAAACAAAAAACACCTTTCCTTTCCTGATATATATACTACTCCTTGGCTTTCTAATTGCCCCTGGGAAGACCATCAGCTCCTTGAGAACGCAGAGTCGGTGTCATTCAGCTCAGGGAGCCCCCTCTGACTCAGAGAGCAGCTGATGCCCCGGGAGGCACATCCAACCCCAGCAATGCTACCTGCGTGACCTTTACTCAGCCTCTCTGGGCTGTGCTGTGCTGGAGGAAGTGGAGATAAGGCTCGCTGTTTGTCCTGAGTTTGTAGCACTTAACAATGAATGTATTTTAAATGCATGACCCACAGAAGATATGCAGAAAAGATTTGCTGCACCAAAAACACTTGTGACCTCTGACAGCTGTTCTAGTCCCAAAAGTGAGTCCTCCATCCCACTCCCACCCCCACCCAGGTCAAGCCTCCATTGTGGGTGTCTGGGGCTGAGAGGACCGGATCTTCGGGTAAGAGACCTGCTGTGGCTGGAGGGCTTCCTAGTCTTCATTAACAAAATAGTCAATCCCCAATTTCATTAAATGCAGAGACTATAAGAACTTATTAAGACTGATGTTTTGATTTCCCTTACATTCAACAGATACTGAAAAATACAGAAAAAGTAACTATCATCTTGCTGCATCATTAGTTTGTAAGCTTACTTAAAAGGTTGGCTAAATCATGGAAGATTAATGTTGTCTGCTTATTAAAGCTGCTCTTTATTGAACCAAGAATATTTATTTGGATACTCATCAAATGTCCGGTGCACCTGCCCACAGTAACCACAGGGGTGTCAGCTGGGTGGATGATTAACCAGGCTTTTAGAAAAAGGCCAGTGTCCTCCAAACTTTGCAAAGGAGCTCTCCTGGGGCCTGGAACTCTCCTAGTCAGCTCTGTAAATCATTGTGCATTGGGAAATTCATCTAACACTTGTATTGCATTTGCAAGGGAGGAAAGAACACGTGCTAGGTTACAGCTGAGAAAATGCTGTTTCTCGCTCAACGAGGTATGTGAAGGAAGCGTTGAGGCTCTAGATCATTTTATTCACAACTCCGACTTGTTGGACTTCCACAGACAAATCAAACAGAATCAAGCCTACAACTGTATGAAAATGTAATTGACACTGAGGAGGTTTCTTCTGTTAGGAGGAAGAAAAGGAATCATCCAATAAATGATCTTGAGAAAACTGGTCAGCTCTTTGGGAAAAAACAAATCTAGATTTCCTCTTCATTCCATTCACCAAAATAACGGCCAAAAGCAGCAAAGAATCACAAAAAATGAAACGATTCAATAAAACATGTTTTTGTAATTTTGGTGTAGAGTAGACACATGCAAACAGAGAACAAAATCAGGAACCTGTGAAGAAATAGATGGATAATGTTGGTTAAATTCAACATTGAGTATGGTGAAAAGTGCCATGGAGTCAAATGATAAGTTAGGGGAAATTCTTGAATGCAAATGACAACAATTAGGATCCTTAAAAATGATCCATAAATGCTAACAAAAAATGAAGAAGTAATTCAACTTAAAAAAAAAAAGAGAGAGAGGAAAAGAAACAATATAGGCACATTAAAAAGATTATCCACCATGACCAGGTGGGATTCATTCCTGGGCTACAAGGATGGTTCAACATTTGCAAATCAATCAATGTGATAGAGCAAATCAATAAGAGAAGAGAGAAGAAACACATGGTCTTCTCAATTGATGCAGAAAAAGCATATGACAAAATCCAGCATCGTTCCTGATTAAAACTCTTCAAAGTATAGGGATAGAGGGAACATTCCTGAACTTCATAAAATCTATCTATGAAAGACCCACAGCAAATATCATCCTCAATGGGAAAAAGCTTGCAGCCTTCCCGTTGAGATCAGGAACACGACAAGGATGCCCACTCTCACCACCCTTGTTCAACATAGTATTAGAAGTCCTAGCAACAGCAATCAGACAACAAAGAGAAATAAAAGGTATCCAAGTTGGCAATGAAGAAGTCAAACTCTCTCTCTTCGCAGATGACATGATTCTTTATATGGAAAACCCAAAAGACTCTACCCCCAAACTACTAGAACTCATACAGCAATTCAGCAACGTGGCAGGATACAAAGTCAATGTACAGAAATCAGTGGCTTTCTTATACACTAACAATGAAAATACAGAAAGGGAAATTAGAGAATCGATTCCATTTACTCTAGCACCAAGAACCATAAGATACCTGGGAATAAACCTAACCAAAGAGGTAAAGGATCTGTACTCGAGGAACTACAGAAAACTCATGAAAGAAACTGAAGAAGACACAAAAAGATGGAAGACCATTCCATGCTCTTGGATTGGAAGAATAAACATTGTTAAAATGTCTATACTGCCTAGAGCAATC